GTTTGTGCCCGCTGGGTTGTTCAGTGTAATACATAGGATTATGGAGAAGGGGGTTTGTGCCCGCTGGGTTGTTCAGTGTAATACATAGGATTATGGAGAAGGGGGTTTGTGCCCGCTGGGTTGTTCAGTTTCATACATAGGATTATGGAGAAGGGGGTTTGTGCCCGCTGGGTTGTTCAGTTTCATACATTGGATTATGGAGAAGGGGGTTTTGTGCCCGCTGGGTTGTTCAGTGTAATACATTGGATTATGGAGAAGGGGGTTTGTGCCCGCTGGGTTGTTCAGTTTAATACATTGGATTATGGAGAAGGGGGTTTGTGCCCGCTGGGTTGCTGAGTTTAATACATTGGATTATGTAGAAGGGGTTTTGTGCTCACTGAGTTGTTCAGTTTAATACATTGGATTATGGAGAAGGGGGTTTGTGCCCGCTGGGTTGCTGAGTTTAATACATTGGATTATGTAGAAGGGGTTTTGTGTCCGCTGGGTTGTTCAGTTTCATACATTGGATTATGGAGAAGGGGTTTTGTGCCCGCTGGGTTGTTCAGTTTATTACATTGGATTATAGAGAAGGTTTCGTGCCCGCTGGGTTGTTCAGTTTAATACAATGAATTATGGAGAAGGGGTTTTGTGCCCGCTGGGTTGCTGAGTTTAATACATTGGATTATAGAGAAGGGGGTTTGTGCCGGCTGGGTTGTTCAGTTTAATACATTGGATTATGGAGAAGAGGGTTTTGTGTCCCCTGGGTTGTTCAGTAAGGAAGTCTAAATGGCGATAATCAAAACAGTCGTCAACTCAAGGTAGCTTTGTACATGAACCCCAATACCACCCTAACACCCCCCTCACGTTACAGGAGAAAATCATTGACTAAGTAGATGCCAACTTTACTTGCATGGTATAAAGATACATGGTGCAATTTCCAATGAAGTTCTAGAGTGTAAATAAACCGTGCATTGGGTGTGGTGTTAGAAGAGAAGGTCGGATTTCGTGATCACGTAATGTTCTCCACAGAATTGCCCATAGAAAAGCGCACAAACCTCATACACAACGATAGAGGTGACCTCCCCATCATCGGCCTCAAACTCCAGACAGAAGAGCTGATTTCCAAGCTGCTCCGGGTCCGTACTGGAACTGCTCTCACTAATGTCATCCTCAGCCAGACCTGCACTGGGGTGGGAACTTTCTGAGGAGGGACACAAGAGGACATCCGGTGAAAAAAAGGTTGTTCCCTGGAGTTCTGATATACCTTGAATATCCCCTTTAATGTTTAATTAATCATTTGAATAGGTCATCAAGGACATCTCAGAGAGAAATACGGCACAATCAAGAAAATTTAACCTTAAACGTCACACAAAATTAGTGCAACAGTTCATCAAAACCACATTTTCTGTCACTCCTGCAGGGATTCCCCCCCCCCCCCGAAGCTTTGGGTGATGGGAGTACGGTAGTTTGTGTCCTCCCATTACCCTTAGGAGAACTATGGGGAAAAGCCCTAAACCCATAGTTCATCCCTGGCCACAGTGACCTAAAAATGAAAGCTCAGAACCTGGAAGTGACAAATACCGCGTCCCTTTCAGGTTCTTTGAAAGGTGAGGGGTCGTATGTTGGTTGATCTCTTTCCCCTGCAGCTGCTGACATCATTATGGCCATCACAAGCTTGCAGAAGTGAGAGCAGGCCCTGGGATATATGTCAGGGGGTAGCGGCATGCTGGAAGTGATTGGGCAGCTATAAAGCCACCTGAATCGCATCCACATTGTAGCCAGGAGTCAGCTGACTGAAAGTGAACTGACTCCCGGCTGCTGGACTACTTTCTGCCTCCTTATATCACTCGGAGACTCCTGTGGCATGATTGCTATGACCAAGTCTCTCTCCCCTCCCATAAGGACATAGCCACAGTGTCACACTACTGCAACTGGGCTTCCCAGTTTATTGCACATTATGGTTCCTCTATCAGCAGGGTAAGACACCAGAGTGAGTATCACAGCAGCTGAGATATAATGAGAGTTCTGGTGGAGATGGCTCAGCCACACAAGCCTGAAATAGAAGTTTGGGGCTGAGTCCGCATTTACATTACTTGACTAAAGCACACAGAGACCCCGACTGGCTTCCATAGAGATGTACCTCTCTGACGGGGGTGGTAAACCTGTATGTCCGGTTTCTTGGGGCGTGAAGGCCTTGGGGTGTACCTTTTCCTTTGCTTCTCTTTAGCTTTCTCTTTCATGTCCTTGTCATAATCATCTCTGGAGAAAAAGAAAAGAAAGAGTGAGAGCAAGAGAAAGAGAGTGAGAAAAAAGCGAGAGAGAGAGAGAAGAGGGGTCATTTAAGTGAAAACCAGGGTCAAAGTAAGGGTGTAGTACAGACAGACAATCATACAACCGGCCTAACTGCTATAAAGTCAGAGGCTGCTATAGAAGAAGTATCTGTTTTCCATGCCGGTGTTTTTCAATGTAGAGCAAACAGCTAAATAGACATTGGACATACATACATGAAGATGGTTTTAACTGCCACATGATGTTATTCTGTTCATCCAGTATTAGAATACACACAGCTCTGCACAGACAGGAAGAGGTCTCTACTATTGGTTCAGCTTTATAGCTTCCTGTGTGATGGTGGAGTATGATGTTCCTGGTTCACTGTCCACTGAGCAGGCTGTAGATGGAGAGCCGGCAGAATAAACTGCAAGGCTGTGGCAGGACATAGTCAATGACCTGGCCATGCAGTGTGCTAGAGGTGTGGGAATCACAAGACTTCCTCAACACCATTTTAATTCCTTTGTCAGATTTTGACAGTTGACATATACACTATTGCCAAAAGTATTGGGACACCCCTCCAAATCACTGGATTCGGGTGTTCCAATCACTTCCATGGCCACAGGTGTATAAAATCACGCACCTCGGCATGCAGACGCTTCTACAAACATTTGTGAAAGAATGGGTCGCTCTCAGGAGCTCAGTGAATTCCAGCGTGGTACCGTGATAGGTTGCCACCTGTGCAACAAGTCCATCCGTGAAATTTCCTTGCTATTAAATATTCCGCGGTCACCTGAGTATCTGAAGTGGAAATACAGGATTGTTACAAATCGGGTTGGCCTACACCAGGGGAGGGTAAACTCCAGGTCCCCAGGAGTTGAGAAAGTGCAAATCCCATCATGCATATGTCTCTGGGAGTCATGCCTGTGGCTGTGAGAATCTTGCAATGCCTCATGGGACTTGTAGTTCCACAACAGCTGGAAGGCCAAAGTTTTCCACCCCTGGTGTACACAGACTATTCCCCCTACAGTCAATGATGATGAATGCTGCTGCAAGACTCATACACCTCAGTGCCCGTTTGGTGTCTTCCGCCCCTCTCTGCCAATCCCTCCATTGGCTTCTTATTGCCTCCCCCCCCCCAAAAAAAAAACACTGAATACGAACATACAAAGTCACAACTCTGACCCCAGCTACATCACCAATCTTATCTCCAACCTCACCCAAACTATCGTTTCCCCTCCTTCCGAAACCTCCCTCATCACCTTCTCCCATTCTCACCTCCAGGACTTCTCCAGAGCCTCTCATCCACTGGAACTCACTACCCAACCTGTCCCACTATCGTCTACTCTGTCCACCTTTAGGTGATCCCTGAAAACTCATCTCTTCAGGGAAGTCTATCCCGCTTCCACCTAAAAACTTTTTTTTTTTTTTTTTTTTAATGTTCTCCATCAGCTCATCGCTCACAACTAATGCTTCTGTATCACTTGACACCTTTCTTTAGATTGGAAGTTCTCATGAGCAGGTCGGTCCTCCAAACCCTCTTGTATTGAATTGTACATTAAAGGAGAACTATGAGGTGAGTGAAAATCACTCCTCCTCATAGTTCAAGCCGACGTGTGACAATGAAACTGTCACACGTCGGCTCAATAGATCGGGAAGTGAGAGAACACATACCGTCGCTCGCTCACTTCTCGATCGTCTCCCCGCAGGGATTCCCCCCTCCCCCAGCGCTGACTGACGGAACGGCCGGGCACAGCTGGCTCTGCTTCTAGATAGGCAGAGCCAGCTGTCACTTACGCAGCTGGGTGGATCTCGACAGTATTGTCGGGATCCGTCCCGGCTGCAGCGATCTCGGTATAAAGTAAGCAATAGCTCGCTATATAATGAGCTTTGGGTCACGGGAGGAGGTTAGTATATGTCCTCCCGTGACCCTAAAGAGAACTATGGGGATAACACTTACCCCACAGTTCTCTTTTTATATGCTCCTCCCCTCCAGGGGTCTCTTGATTTGTAACATTGTATCTCCTTATTAACATGTATTTATTTCCGGGGATCCTCAGTGCCATCTAGTGGCCATAATGTGGTATTTCCCAGTCACTCGGTTCTGTGTGAATGAACCTATTGAAGAACCTTCAACCAGAAGAGAGTTTATAAATGTGTTTTTGCCGCATTCTCACAACAGTTGGTGAACTTGCACAGAGCGAACGCACCTGCAGTTTTGATGGACAAATAAGCCATAGAGAATCTTTTTTATAAGTAGACCCCAAGCAACTGGTCAGCAGATTGCACAGCTTGAAGGCATCGTCCACCAATAAATGCGCCCACATTAATAACATTTTCAATGTGCATGTATTACACTTCTGCATTGAAATCTGCAGAGCATTGCAACCGCACTCAGCGTGTTGTGGCTGCATTGTTTACCCCTCCTGCCCCCGCCCCCTAGCTCTGTATGGAAGTGCAGACCTTCTGCTATGGACCTGGAGGAAGTTACCAATGGACTACAAGCGCTGTGATGTCACCTCACCGGGGCTTCATGGAGATCTCTGCTGTGGTGGCAGATGGGACTTGTAGTCATTCAATTCACAGATCCTGTGGGTAGATTTGCAAATGGATGTGTGTGTGTGTGTTGGTGGGGGGACGGGATCAGAGCCGAATCCAAAACTAAACAAATGTCCGCAGGTAGAAGCTCCCCTACAATTTAGATAAGGGGGAGGGGGGGCAGTTTGAGGGTAAGGGGATGGGTGACGTGACCCTGTTTCATGTTATGGATTGAACATTAAACGTGGGTACAAAGGTGGAGTATTCTTTTAAGTCTGCAGCACCCGGAGAAGCAGGCACGTCTATAGGGATCCCAGGATGTCTTCTTTCATATAAAAGTCCAGAAGAGGAATGATTGACGGCAGAGAAAGCCAATAGCAGTGGTGCTGGTGGTGGGGGGGGGATTCAAAGGGTTGTATTGTGGAGCTGTTAAGGGTGTGCACATCCTATATTATTAACTTACAGGGAATTGATAATAATCAGAATATACACAGGAGAGGACAAGTGTGGGGAAGAAAGTTAAGACTGGAGTTTATTGTTGTTGCACTTCCAGCTCAGCCTGCAAAGGATGGACAGCGAATACAGCATTATATCAGTGTGCATGTCCTCATAGAAGAACATGGCGCCTTCTGGTATCCGGTGTCACCCAGAAACTTCCATTCCCAGTATGAATCCTGGACACTCCAGCTGTTCTGGAACTACAAGTCCCATGAGGCATTGCAGGTCTTTGACAGCAAGGGGCATGACGGGATATGTAGTTCCATCACTGCTGGAGTGCCAAGCTTGCCTACCCTGATCCATCCATCCTGTCTGTGATGCCTCGTCTGCTCTGTACCGGTTATTACATATGAATTCACCCCTCCCCCTGCTGACAGTCCATCACACCTCTCCAGGGCACTGACGCCGGGCTATTACAAATGAATGAGGCCACCGAGCTCTGCCCTATTACCGCGCCATCTGGTTCCGGCGGATGTGATGGACGAAGCCGTGGGTCATGTCCAACCTTCCGCTGGGCCCTGGCCTGCCCCGGTGCTCCGTTTCCTCCTCCATAACACCACTCTCCCCACCGGGGGCTCCAGTAGCAGTCTGCTTTCTGATTCGCTCCGGTGTTCCACATCACCCTCGCTAATTGGCTACGAGGCAGCGCGCAGGTCTGGAGCTGATTGGTTACGTTCATCAGTGTTTTGACGATTGGCTACTTGTGCAACAGCCTTTCAGAGGGAGAGCCAATCAAAAAGATCAGTGTTTGTGTGAAGCCTCGTTCTCGTCGTACGGCTACCAATCAGTAACTGGGGGCCCATAGGGACGGGGTTGTAGTCATAGCGAGGCTAGGTACGCACCAGCGTCGGGGAGAGAAGGATGAGCGTGGAGAAGAATATAAAGCGGGAGGCAGAGGAGCCGCTGGAGGAAGAGAGAGGTGAGGGTGGCCCGCAGTGTACTCCTTACCATAGAGGGGAGAGAGAGGCCTGCGATGTATTCATTACCATAGAGACGAGAGTGAGGCCTGCAGTTTATTTATAACCATAGAGGGGAAAGAAAGGCCTCCAGTGTATTCATTACCATGGAGAGAGAGGCCTGCAGTGTGACCCTTACCGTAGAGGGTCCTGCAGTGTGATCCGCACCGCAGAGAGGCGAAAGATCTGCAGTAAGCACTCCTTACTGTGAGGGGACAAGCGGAGGCCTGCAGTGTACTCCTTACTGTGAGGGGACAAGCGGAGGCCTGCAGTGTACTCCTTACTGTGAGGGGACAGGGGGAGGCCTGCAGTGTACTCCTTACTGTGAGGATGTGTTGTGAACACGGGGCGATATGCTCACCTCTATGGTGATTGCAGTTGGCAATGTGCACACGGCACTGCGCTATAAAGAAGAGCCTGCAACACTGATCCAGACTGGGAATTGTATTCAGCATAATAGTACCCAGAGCCGGCAAGAACACACTGGGACCTGTGACGTGCACATTCTATAACAGGGGTAGCCAAACTCTGGCCCTCCATCTGTGGTGAAACTACAAATCCCATGATGCATCACTCTCCTGGAGTCGTGGCTGTGAGAATCTTGCAATTCCTTGTGGGATTTGTAGTTCCACCACAGCTGGAGGGCCGGAGTTTGGTTACCCCTGTTCTAAAATATCAATATAGCATTACCATGGTTACCAAATAGTGTAATCTGTACACCAATGACAACATTGCCCAAACTTCTCCTCCACTGAAAGGTTCACCGTTGGAACTTTGTCTCCTGAGTTCTGTTTAACAAAAAGTTTTTCACACTTAAGAAAAATAAACTTTTGGGATTAGATCTCTAGGGGTTCATTTATAAAAGTTCCACCCGGTGTATACTGTCTGTATGGCACAAGCACACCTATAAATTCCTATACTCGCCAGTGCCAGCTTGGGACTATATGCCCGGTGTAACTTTTATAAGTGAAGCCCCCCTAGTGCTACCATGCCAATATCGTGTATGGTAGAGAGACACCAGACTGCACACCAAATGAGGAAAAGGAGACGTCAGGTGCAACACTAGTATATAACCCTTGTTTGTAACCGTCATCCCATGACGAGGGAGCATGGAGCTGGCCAATCAGAAAGCAGGGCGCTGTATCATTACACGGCGGGCGCTGTATCATTACACGGCGGGCGCTGCATCATTACACAGCTTCCATGATTGGCCAGCAAGACGGCTCGGGCTGGGTACCGGAGGAAGACCGTTCCTGGCTGGAGAGGCCCCGGGCATGACAGGCTGGACATGCTGAGGTGAGAGGGGACAGGCTAGGATGGCTTTCTTGTTAATCAGGAAGCCAGGTGGCGAGTCATTACAGGTCACCTGGCTTCCTGAATGGGACTTCCGGTACTCAGTAATTGGTGTCGGCGAGTACGGGAAAAAAGTATCGGTACTCGGTACCAAAATACCGGTATCGGTGCATCCCTACTTAAAACTTTAGATATAATAATTGATGGATGAATGGACTAATAATTTCACAGAGGTCAGTATAGGTTAGCTGTAAAATATAATACAGCGTCAGGAGTGTTCTCCGGATCACAAGTTTATCATAGATGAAATGGGTTTAGCGTCAGGATTAATTCCTAAAGTTGCTGCAGTTAAAACACCTGAAAACTGCAATCATGTATTAAAAGAATCAGTTTTTAAATGGATTCAAACAATTGTTCCCCCTGGCATGTATTTTATGCAGTACGTGCTTGTCATCGGCTTCTGTTCTCATATGACCGCCTCATACAGCCGCAGACAGGGTCTCTCTCCCCACACTGGGGAACTCTTAGCACTGTAACCCGCCAGCAGCTGTATAGGCTTCAGATACCCGGAAGCAGACGCTGAGCAGCAATCAACAGCTTCATGGCTTGCAGAGACACCGCCGCTATATAGCTGCTGGCGGGTTACTGCACTACAGTCCCCCCAGTGTGGGGAGGGAGATCCTGTCCGCTGGCCATGGCAGGCTGGTGATCTGAGAACAGAGGCCGATGATGAGCATGTACTGCATAAAATACTCGGGAGTGGAGCTATTGTTTTTAATTTATCGAAATATTATTTTAATGCACTGTTGCAGTTTCCATGTGTTTTTCAACTAGAGAAACTTTGAGATGCAATCCTGAGGCTGAACTATATTGATGTGGTTACCTATGGCAACTATGAACACTCCTGACACTGTATTTTTTACATTGTAACTTATGGTAACCTCAGTGGATTTATTAACAAGGAAGCGAGTGCTGTCATTCTGTATTTGGCTTTATATACTAGGGCTATACCTGATGTCTTTTTCTTTGTTTGTCCATCCTTATACACTATATTGCCAAAAGTATTGGGACACCCCTCCAAATCATTGGATTCAGGTGTTCTATGAAATTTCCTTGCTACTAAATATTCCACGGTCACCTGTTAGTGGTATTATAACAAAGTGGAAGCAACTGGGAACAACAGCAACTCAGCCACGAAGTGGTAGGCCACGTAAAGTGACAGAGCGGGGTCAGCGCATGCTGAAGCGCACAGTGCACAGAAGTCACCAACTGTCTGCGGAGTCAATAGCTACAGACCTCAAAACTTCGTGTGGCCCTCAGATTGGCACAACAACAGTGTGTAGAGAGCTTCATGGAATGGGTTCCCATGGCCGAGCAGCTGCATCCAAGCCTTTCATCACCAAGTGCAATGCAGAGCGTCGGATGCCGTGGTGTAAAGCACGCCGCCACTGGACTCTAGAGAAGTGGAGACGTGTTCTCTGGAGTGACGAATCGCGCTTCTCTGGCAATCCGATGGACGTGTCTGGGTTTGGTGGTTGCCAGGAGAACGGTACTTGCCTGACTGCATTGTGCCAAGTGTAAAGTTTGGTGGAGGGGGGATTATGGTGTGGGGTTGTTTTTCAGGGGTTGGACTTGGCCCCTTAGTTCCAGTGAAGGGAACTCTTAAGGCATCAGCATACCCAGACATTTTGGACAATTTCATGCTCCCGACTTTGTGGGAACGGTTTGGGGATGGCCCCTTCCTGTTCCAACATGACTGCGCACCAGTGCACAAAGCAAGGTCCATAAAGACATGGATGAGCGAGTTTGGGGTGGAGGAACTTGACTGGCCTGCACAGAGTCCTGACCTCAACCCGATAGATCACCTTTGGGATGAATTAGAGCAGAGACTGCGAGCCCGGCCTTCTCGTCCAACATCAGTACCTGACCTCACAAATGGTCCAACATTCCCACCTGACCTCACAAATGGTCCAACATTCCCATAGACACACTCCTAAACCTTGTGGACGCCTTCCCAGAAGAGTTGAAGCTGTTATAGCTGCAAAGGGCGGAGCCAACTCAATACTGAACTTTGCGGACTAAGACTGGGATGCCATTAAAGTTCATGTGCGTCCCAATAATTTTGGCAATATAGTGTTTGCGCCCCTTCCCGGCTCGAGGGCTTCAACATCTTTTGATTAACGTCTGTGATTCTCCATCGCCTGGGTTAGGTTTGAACCTTCTCATAAACACAACAGTTTGAAAGTGGCACTGCTGTCTATTTGAAGATCATGATCCATTGGCACAAACGTTTCTTTGTTCTTTCTAGTTCCAGGAAAACATAGTCGCAGTGATCTAGAAGATAGACGAAGCCGACATTGCCCGTACCTGGACACTATTAACAGGTTTGTATAGTATGAGAGCGGGCTCTTCTGCGGGTGCTGTTGGTCTAGAAGTCTCCTCTAATGTTTCTTTGCTTCATTAGGAGTGTGCTGGATTTCGACTTTGAGAAGCTATGTTCTATTTCTCTGTCTCACATCAACGTATACGCCTGTCTGGTGTGCGGCAAATACTTTCAGGGTGAGTGACGAGGGTAGGACATTACTGAAAATTATATTTCATAGACATAAAGACAAGCATTTCACTTTTTTTCCCCCCCTTGTCTTTAGGTCGCGGGTTGAAGTCTCATGCATATATTCACAGCGTCCAGTTCAGTCACCACGTTTTTCTGAATCTGCACACATTGATGTTTTATTGTTTGCCTGATAATTACAAGATCATAGACTCTTCATTGGAGGATATCACAGTAAGTATAGCAGTGTTAGTTTTGGCCTTTGTAGCCTCCAGTATAGTAATGGTTGTAAAGAGTACATCATGTTTGTTGATTGATACAAGTATGTTACACTTGTAGATCATTTCAAATGAATACTGTCATGCTCCTTTACACTAAAATTCTAGATGCTTAGTGTCCTGGTAATCCTCTAGAATATGGGGGAGTTATTAAAAAGTGTCAGACAAACTTTGTCTCACCTGGAGCACAGCCCATCAGCTTTTAGATAGTAGCAGATTGGTTGCTATTGACAACCACACCAATCGAAATAGAACTTATCTCAGACACTTTTTTTTTCCTTTTTTGGTAACAGGAGGACATTTACCAATGTCCTTCTGTGACCCAAACTCAGCATATAGCGACATACTGCCTGCTATATGCTGACAGTGCAGAGCCGCGCTGCAGCCAGGAAAGGATCCTGACAATATTGTTGGGATCCACCCCGCTGCCTGATTGACTGCTGCCTCTTTAGACCCAGAGCTAGCTGTGAACGCTAGAGGAACAGGAGGAATCCCTGTGGGAAAGTGGTGATTGACAGTCACTGTTCT